TTCTGTTCCCACCTCTGGAAGGCAAAGCAGGGCTGGGAGCCAGGACTCCTGGGTTTTATCCCCAACTCTGGGAGGGGAGTGGTGGCTAGTGGTTAGAGCAGGATTGGGCTGAGAGGCAGCAGTCCTGGGTTCTGTTCCTAGCTGGGAAGTTATCGAGTGCACGGCTCGATCCCTGCTCTGCCACTGCCTTCCTGCATGACCTGGGGCAAGTCACAGTCCCGCCCGGTGCCTCAGTTTCCTCATCTGTAATAATATTGACTCCAGCCCGTGACCAAGGTCCAGTCCCGACTCCAAAGGATGTTGACTGGGCCTGGCTTGGGAGGTCGGCCCCTAGAGCTGCCCCTGCTGCAAGGACACACCAGAGCTCCTGCAGGAGGAAGGCGTTTTTATTAGCAGTAATTAGTACAGAAATTCAACCACCAGACACCAAAGGGCGAGAGAGGGTGGGGGACACGGGGGGGGGGGCACACTGGCCTGGCCAAGCCACCATCCTTCATGAGCACTGGAGCCCTTCCGTGTCCGCCGGGCTCCCTTCGCTGCCCGCCCAGCCGGTCACTCGCTGCTTCCTCGCCACCTGCCTGCCCGCGGTGTCTATGGCGGCTGCCACAATCTCGGCCGCTGCGGCATACAGCAGCCGCTTCTCCTGCTCCTCCTGGTCCCCGGCACTGCCCCCCGGGCCGGCTTGCTGCAACCTGGCAGCAGGGGAGCACAGACGAGCCCCCTCGCTTGGCTGGCACATGCCACTTCCTCCCGCAGCCTCTGCCTGGTCCATGGTGCCCACCTGGGTGGGAGCCAGTGCCAAGGAGGTGGGTGGGGCAGGCCGATCCTGCGCCCCGTGGCACCGCGCTGAGCCGGCAGGCGCCAGTCCTGCTGCAGGCTGCTCCAGAGGATAGGCCTGCAGCGCACACGGGGCGTCACTTCCACCTAGGGCGTCGTGATTCCTGGCGCCCAGGGGTGCCAGCGGGTCGTGCCTGGGCTGTCCAGCTGGGGGCGGGTGTGGGGCAGAGGTCCCATCTCTGCCGGAGCTGGACTCTCCCCCGGCCGGAGCAGGGGGCTGGCCCCTGTTTCCACTGAGCTCCCCCTGAGTCGGGGTCACGGGGGGCTCGGCAGTGTCGGTGCTGGACCCTGCACTGGCCAACGTGCCAGGGGCGAGCGGCGTGGCTCCTTGCTCTAGCTGCTGCTCGGGGGCGTTCCCGTCCACACCCTGCCTGCCTGGGCTGGACCCCCCGTCCCCCACTCCCTCATGGCTCCCCCAACCCGGATTCCCTGCAGCCGACTCCCTCTGCCCCTCCTCTCCCTGGGTGGGAGCAGGCAGTGGGCCTGGCCCTTGCCCTCCCTGGGCCCCGAGCCCTCCATGCAGTACCCCCCAGCCTCCCGTCTCCCCCCGGGCTCTGGCGTTTCTCTCCCACTCTGTGCCCAGTGAGGCCGCGCTGCAGCCTCCTGCCTCTGAGACGGGGGCGTCAGACGTGGGGACCACGAGCTCCCCCAGGTCCCCTTGTGTCTCAGCATCTCCTCCGTCCTCGGGCGCTGGCAGCTGGCTCCCGCCTGGCCCTGCTCCTCTCTTTGCCCTGATCAGGCTGCGGAGAGCCCGCCAGGGTCTGGCAGCCCAGGGGCTGGAGCCCGTCCCGCCTGGGCTCGGGGAGGCAGCCCTTTGCCGCCATCTCAGCGGAGACTCGCCAAAGGGCTCCACGCTTCTGCTAAGGGTAGCGAGGGGCCTGTGCCCGGTGCCCTCCCACCCCTTCTTCCCTGGGGATGCTGCCTTGAAGCAGAGCAGTTTTCGGAGCAGGGAGGAGCCTGCACTGCCCGGCACCGAGTCCTGGTGGGAGCCCAGGGCCCCGGCCCGGCCCGCTGGATGCCTCACAGCCTGGATGGGGCTCTCGTGGTTGGCTTCCAGGCAGAGACGGCTGCGGGCGGTGCCAGGCTCCCAGCCCGCCGCCCCCTTCCCCTTCCGCAGCATCCGGATCTTCTGCCTGAGGAAGGCCTGTTCTGAAGGGCGCTTTCCCCGGGGCTCGGCCGGGAGCCCCGATCCATGAGCCAGGGGCATAGGGGTGACGCTGCCTCCAGCGCAGGCTGGGCTGGGCTGGGACGCCGTCCCCCCTCCCTGGCTCGCCACGTCCATTTCAGCCCCCTTGCCCCTCGGGCTCTAGAGGGCACGGCGGCGTTTGCGTGCACGTTCCGGCCGGGGTCCCGGGGCGAGGGGCTTCCAATCCAGCTGCGGTGAAGGGCTCGCTCCCCACCGGGCCAGCTCCAGGCCACGGGGGGCGGCGTCCTCGTCTGGGCGAGCAGCAGGGCTCTGGCGGGTGGGGGGCCGAGCTGCGTGGGATGGGGTGACGCCTCCAGCAGCTGGGGAAACCAGAACCCAAGTGAGTTGGACCAGTGGCACTTGGCATCTGTGAATCTATTCAGGGCTAAGGCCAGAAGGAACCAGCCTGGAGCTCAGTCTTGATTTAAACCCATCTCCCCTTTAACCCTGGGCACGGTCCCCCGTCCCTGCCAAGCGGTGAACCAGCGACACCGCGTTGGATAGAGAACCCAGGTGTCCTGGCCTAGCCAGGCCTTCCCCCTGCTGTAACCACTAGACCCTACGCTCACCCGGAGCTGGGGATAAAACCCAGGCGTCCTGGCCTAGCCAGGCCTTCCCCCTGCTGTAACCACTAGACCCTA